GCCCTCATAGTGATCAGCATTAAATTTCTCCTTGTAATATCAATGCTTTGTAAAACAGAGTGGTCATGAGAATTCTAGACATGATCACGCGATATGAATTTGCTTGATATTTTATCAACTTCTCCCCACTACTTCTGTAGGAACTGAATGAGGCAACAAATGAGAATTCAAATTTTGATCTTAGCGTTTAAAGGGTTAAAAGTATTTAAATTTAGTTTTTGCTACCGTGTGTTTTATTTCAGCTTTAGACGTATGGATTGACGTTCCACCAAAAAACACGCATGCCTTGATCAATGAAACCGTAGAGTTGAAGTGCGTTGGGCGAGGAACTCCTACACCCTCGATATCATGGCAAAAGAATGACGTACCTATTAATTTCCAAAGCAATCCGCGGTATCTGAAGATGTCCAGCGGTTCTCTGCGGATTAGCATGAGCCAGAAAAGCGACAGTGGAAAGTACACTTGCGTGGCTACTAATAGTCGGGGGAACAGAAAGGCTAATGCCACTCTTACGATCTTAAGTAAGTACGATGTCAACAGACCGTGTTCGTATTCTTGGTAGTAAACAGGGACTAGCTTGGAGTTGAGGCGAAAGTCAGAGGTGCAGTAAACCTCGCCTCAATCAACAGGAGCCCTCTTAATAAATACAATGGTAACAGGACTGTATGGTGGCCCACAACTGTCACGGCAAAACCAAAAACCTCACGGCAAAAACAAAATACCTCACGGCAAAACCAAAACCTCACGGCAAAAACAAAATACCTCACGGCAAAACCAAAAACCTCACGGCAAAAACAAAATACCTCACGGCAAAACCAAAAGCCTCACGGCAAAACCAAATATTTCACAGCAAAAGCAAAATAGCTTTGGTTTTGCCGTGGGTATTTTGCTTTCGCCGTGAGGTATTTGGTTTTTGCTGTGAAGTATTTGGTTTTGCTGTGAGGTCCTTGGTTTTGCCGTGACGTTTTTGGTTTTGCCGTGAGGTATTTGGTTTTTGCTGTGAAGTATTTGGTTTTGCCGTGAGGTTTTTGTTTTTGCCCTGAGGTTTTCGGTTTTGCCGTGAGATATTTTGTTTTTGCCGTGAGGTTTTTGGTTTTGCCGTGACAGTTGCGGGCCACCGTAGGACTGAGTGGAGTCCAATTCGGTCTGTAATCGTACGAGTGATTAACAAAATCAGTCCGATTTGTTTAATCACGAGTATGGTTACAGACTGAATTGGACGACATGAAGCTCTGTTAACAATTAATCATAACGTTAACAAAATTTGTGATATATAAGGCTCTTTTTTAAAATCAAAAAAGAAGAAATTCCAATTTTTTTGGCTAGCAGTGATGAAAAGGCCATTTAAGCGCGCGCGTAATGGCGCGTACTGTCCAATTACTTAAGCGTGACGCGTACTGTCCCATTAAATTGTCCTGTTAAGGCTGAAATCAGGGCAGTTGATAGCCAATCAGATTTGAGAATTTTGTTATAGTTATAATTAATCGTGTTATTATTCATTCAAAATATTTCGTCGTTTTTGATTCGCTAAAATCCCTCGGCTAATTCTTCAAACCGACCTCCTTTGAACAAATTTGGGAGATGTGATCAGTAAAGCCTCGATTCCGTGGTATATTTGTTTGGCAGCGAGGTTAATCGATGGTATATTGGCCTGGAAACGAGGCTGCTTGGGCAATAGACCCTCCATCAACATCGTCTCCAGGCGCTTCAGCCGCGCTATTTACTCACGAGTGAACTGCACTTTTGCACTGCACTTTTTATTTGAGTGTCAATGTATTTAGCACGAAAGTACTAATTGGGGACACTATTTTTACGTCTCCTACTGGGGACGGGACCGCCATTTTACGTGGTCATCCGAGCCACGCGAAGGTCTATCCGTTTGCAGGGCAAAGGGAGTACCTTCATTTCTCAGTTAGTTTAAGACCCTGAGTATTGGTCCGGCCCCGGGAATCGAACCCGCGACCTCCCGCTCTGCAGTCAAGCGCTCTACCGACTGAGCTAATCCTGCCGCGGTCAAAGTGAAAAATGGTGTACACCGCCAGAAGGTAGTTACAGGAGATTGGTGACCAGAGCATAGAGATTAGTCACCCTTGACACCTAAGTTAAAAATAGTTAATATTACTGTAAATATCCTTTGTTTCTTCTAGTCGAAACGTTGATCACTAATCCACTGCCAAGCCAAATAACAGCCATCAAAGGCGCGCGAAAAGATCTTCATTGTACCGTGCAGTCGGACCCTGCCATATCAGTCCACTGGCGCTGGACCAAGGATGGAAGCCCAGTTGATACGTCCCGGATGACGCTACTCAATGATGGAACGCTCCGAATTAACACCGTGCGGGAAAATGACGCCGGGACTTACGTCTGTCGTGTAGAGTCTGTGGCGGGAAATGCCACAACCAGCGGTACGCTAAGCGTACAAGGTGGGTACTTGTATATTGCTAGCAGTGCTCTTCCCTTTCTTATGCTTGTGTACAGTTTTTTTATGTTCAAAGGTGTTCTGCTGTTGTGCAGCGTAGACGGACAAAATTTATTTGTTAACAGGACATCGGATTTTGATCCCGGGCCACATGAGGCCAACACCGCGATAACAATCAGACCATTGACGCGAAACCTTAGTCTGTAGAGTTTTACCTTCAGAAAGTGCATTAGCGAATGAAGCCTTGAATGTCTTAACTCCCATAGAGACGATTTGCCTGAAAATGTGGGCAAAACCACTGCTCAAAAATGCAAATAGTACTCCTCTGATTGACTTGCGACGCTCAAAACCGCCTTTGTATTTTTTTAAGCTCTCCATTGACTGCTTTTTTTATTTTTCCAGAAACACCACTTGCTCCCAGCACACCTGTAGTGAGTAACATCCAGCCTACGTCAGTTCGTCTGTCCTGGTTTCCTCCGGGGTATGATGGAAACAGTCCCATCATATCCTACGTTGTTGACGCCAAGGCGGGCTCTAATCCTTGGCGCCAGCACGTTGACAACATCAATCCATCTGACAGACAGATGTCAATCCTCGTGCGTAATCTTCTACCCCACACTCAGTACCAGTTCCGTGTTAAAGCTGTGAATCAAGTAGGGGTGGGTGCGGCGAGTGCGGCGTCTGGCAGTATCATGACCCTTATAGCTGGTAAGGCGTACTTCCTTAACGCATCATACCTTTTGAATACAGCTTATTCAGTGAAGGTTGCTTTGGGCGTTTGGAATTATGCACTGGAAAGCTAATATGGAGCTTAAACAACAATGACGGTGACGGCCACGAAATCGTCACACTTAAAAATTTTAACGTCGCGCTGCTATGAACCTTATCGCGCTTATTCTATCTCGTTCAATTCGGCAAATGTTAGCAATTTTTTGGAGTGAATTCCAGAAGAGTGGATCGAAGTTGAGGAGAAAAAGAAAAAAGAAAAAAGAAAGTTTTTGTCTTGTGTTCACGTCGTCCACAAAACGTGAGATTGGTCATTTTCACGTCGAAGTTGTGCCGTGACGGCAAAGAAATGTACAAAGAAGCGTGATGCACCTGCAGAGTTGTTCTTTGCCCAATCTAAACCTGTCGCTTTTTTGTCGTTCTCGTTGACGTCGCCGTGCTCCCTGTTGTTTGGTGGTCACTGAAGCAAATCATTGCACTGATGTTCGTATGCCCAAATGACCAATGCCAAAGCATCCTTTATTGAATTAAGTATGTACATCTATCCGGATCTTTGAAAACGAGCCTAGCGAAATTTACAGCCAACTGAGTGGTAAAGGGTCAAAAGGCAGGTTTCTTGTGTCCGATAAGGCCGAAATCACACTAACGGAGGAAAAGGGAAGGAATAATAGCAAGAGCGAGGAGAAATAAATGAGAGGAAGAAGAAGAGAGAAAAAGCAATCTTTATATTTAAAGTTTTTATATTGTTTACTCTGGAGAAAAAACTGCTTGACACTGGAAGAGGAATATTTGGCGGTAACGTTTTCAAAAATCCAGCTGGGCATGTAATCATTTTTTTTGTCGCAGTGTCACTCGGAAAGAACAGAAGAGTAATCCCAACAAATTTCAACGACGACATCGTCAGTGAAAACTACTGTCCATTTTGGGTCCAACTAAGGACCACATAAAGGCACAATTTGAAGAAATTGTAATAAAAACTTTTTCTGGATTGATCCAGAGACCAAAGTTTTCGATTTCTTAAAAGTTGGCGAGTTGCTCGCCGCTTGCACTCGCAATAATTACGCGACAGTGGAAATCCACCCTAAAACGGAGTTAAGCAAGGTTCAACTTTTACGTTTACGTGCAGTATTCCATACAGTGCCTCTATTTCACTCACTCACGTAAATCTTACGCGCGGTTTTCATGGACGTGACAACCAACTTCGTGGCGTTGAAAATGGCAAACGTGAAAAATCGCGGGAAAAACTAATCACGTGGTCAACTCTTCTGTTTGTCGTAAATGTCGAGGAAAGTGTAATAGGAGAACACCGGAATGTTGATTTGTGTCTTTGATATTTGTTGATTTTGTGTTTCAGCGCCTTCACAACCCCCTAGCAATGTCAATGGTGTACCGATCAGCGCTGACTCCATCCTCGTGCAGTGGCAGGTATGTTCTGATTCAAGCCGCTAATTGAAGTCCCATATATTCTGTCAAATAAACGATCGCGTAAAAGTACTGATTTCGTGCGTTGGAGTTAGGTAAAGAGTCACTGTAGGATTTCATTTAGACATTTTAGTATAATTATACAAAGGATATAGTGACTTTTAGGCTTTTCTTATAAAAGAAAGGTGTCTTTTTTACCTCAAATGGCTGTAGTTTTCGGTACTAAGTACTTTTTCAAAAATCCGGCGAGATACAAAATGATTGTGCCGATTCACTAAAAAGTACTTACTTGTCTAACCCAAACGTTAGTTGTTATCATCTGATTACGGTCATCCTGTAAGGAGAAAAACAGTAATATATTCGTAGGGAGCGTTAAAATCTACCTTAATTTTATTGAGATCAAACTAAGTGTGCTAACACTCTTTGCGCATGTATTTTACTTGCAAAGTTTGAGCTGTTTCAACTTGGAAATCTCAAGGAGTGCTCCATAACCACGTTTCTGTAAGACACTAACTCCCACCACAGTCTTTTGATTTCTCATAGCGTGAACCTCTGTTTTAGAAAGTATCAAAGTAAAACGATGCTTAGCAGAGGATTATTAATATATATCATTCCTTCAGTTTACCTTCGGCCGTACAAATGTCCAAGCTTAAGTTAAAAACAAGCTTATATAAGAATCCCAACATGCCAGAGATAAGAGAGGATAAAGCTCTTGCCAGAGGCAAGCCAGTAACTTGGCTATTTACAAGCCGTGGTTGGAGTGCTGAACTCGGGAGTCCTGTGAAAAATCCTCCAGCCAGTGTTCAGGACTGGAGTCAGCAGCAGAGTCGGGGACTCCGGACTGCAAGTCCTGCAACGCCTAACCGCTCGGCAAAGCTCTCTTCAGCTTAGTCTGGAACCGGTTCAGTCCCTAAAGACATTCCAAGCTAATCCAGGATTGTATTTATCTTACCATAGATTCTTCAGGTTATAATTTTGTGGTATCATGACTGAATCCCGGAGTGAAGGCTCAAAACCCTAACACTCAGTGTACTATAAGCTCCATGACATGTTCCTGAACAAGAAAACTTTGCTTAGATTTGGCTTAACCCTGGGTTAAACTCAACGAGCATCTGTCGACGAACCCGGAGCCGTGGCCCACTTACTTCCTTCTTCTTCTTCTCTTGTATTTTTTGGGTTATCATCGAATGATTCTTTTTTAAACACGACATCTTCCAGGCAAGTCACTGGCAATATATGTCTACTTAGTTAAAAATATATATATATATATCTTTAAATAGCCATGAAAATCATTACTGACACTTCTGTTATTATTAAACAATTGAAACAAATGCTTACCACATTTACTAACTGGACAACTTCTAGTCCAAAAGTGACATTTGTTGACCTTTTCCTGTCTAGTACTGGACGAGCATTCCTGTTGTATTTTTCCATCAACGTTGAAATAAGAACTTGCTCGGCAGATGGATTCGCACCTTTTGCTGGAGAAACGAAACAAAACAAACAGATTTTTCAGGTAATGAGCCGCAGCCCCGCAACCCTGGTCAACTCGCGACGTAATTTCCCTACCCCATCTCCCCAGAGCAGTGTTGATGTCATGAATTCAATTCTTTTTCATCTCGATCAACATTGCTTGGAGGAGAGAGGGACAGCAAAAACAGGCCATTACAACAACATTCTTAAGCTTTTATAAGAAGTAGATTACGAGTTGCTTTAGCAAAGTGAGTCTTCACGCTTAATTTCGTTAAGTGTCCCGACAGATGTTTTGACCAGGTTTGTAGCTGAGTTTAAACAGCAACATTTCTGTTACCTGACGTCAAAAATGAAAAGACGATGACGACGACAATTAANTAATTATACAAAGGATATAGTGACTTTTAGGCTTTTCTTATAAAAGAAAGGTGTCTTTTTTACCTCAAATGGCTGTAGTTTTCGGTACTAAGTACTTTTTCAAAAATCCGGCGAGATACAAAATGATTGTGCCGATTCACTAAAAAGTACTTACTTGTCTAACCCAAACGTTAGTTGTTATCATCTGATTACGGTCATCCTGTAAGGAGAAAAACAGTAATATATTCGTAGGGAGCGTTAAAATCTACCTTAATTTTATTGAGATCAAACTAAGTGTGCTAACACTCTTTGCGCATGTATTTTACTTGCAAAGTTTGAGCTGTTTCAACTTGGAAATCTCAAGGAGTGCTCCATAACCACGTTTCTGTAAGACACTAACTCCCACCACAGTCTTTTGATTTCTCATAGCGTGAACCTCTATTTTAGAAAGTATCAAAGTAAAACGATGCTTAGCAGAGGATTATTAATATATATCATTCCTTCAGTTTACCTTCGGCCGTACAAATGTCCAAGCTTAAGTTAAAAACAAGCTTATATAAGAATCCCAACATGCCAGAGATAAGAGAGGATAAAGCTCTTGCCAGAGGCAAGCCAGTAACTTGGCTATTTACAAGCCGTGGTTGGAGTGCTGAACTCGGGAGTCCTGTGAAAAATCCTCCAGCCAGTGTTCAGGACTGGAGTCAGCAGCAGAGTCGGGGACTCCGGACTGCAAGTCCTGCAACGCCTAACCGCTCGGCAAAGCTCTCTTCAGCTTAGTCTGGAACCGGTTCAGTCCCTAAAGACATTCCAAGCTAATCCAGGATTGTATTTATCTTACCATAGATTCTTCAGGTTATAATTTTGTGGTATCATGACTGAATCCCGGAGTGAAGGCTCAAAACCCTAACACTCAGTGTACTATAAGCTCCATGACATGTTCCTGAACAAGAAAACTTTGCTTAGATTTGGCTTAACCCTGGGTTAAACTCAACGAGCATCTGTCGACGAACCCGGAGCCGTGGCCCACTTACTTCCTTCTTCTTCTTCTCTTGTATTTTTTGGGTTATCATCGAATGATTCTTTTTTAAACACGACATCTTCCAGGCAAGTCACTGGCAATATATGTCTACTTAGTTAAAAATATATATATATATATCTTTAAATAGCCATGAAAATCATTACTGACACTTCTGTTATTATTAAACAATTGAAACAAATGCTTACCACATTTACTAACTGGACAACTTCTAGTCCAAAAGTGACATTTGTTGACCTTTTCCTGTCTAGTACTGGACGAGCATTCCTGTTGTATTTTTCCATCAACGTTGAAATAAGAACTTGCTCGGCAGATGGATTCGCACCTTTTGCTGGAGAAACGAAACAAAACAAACAGATTTTTCAGGTAATGAGCCGCAGCCCCGCAACCCTGGTCAACTCGCGACGTAATTTCCCTACCCCATCTCCCCAGAGCAGTGTTGATGTCATGAATTCAATTCTTTTTCATCTCGATCAACATTGCTTGGAGGAGAGAGGGACAGCAAAAACAGGCCATTACAACAACATTCTTAAGCTTTTATAAGAAGTAGATTACGAGTTGCTTTAGCAAAGTGAGTCTTCACGCTTAATTTCGTTAAGTGTCCCGACAGATGTTTTGACCAGGTTTGTAGCTGAGTTTAAACAGCAACATTTCTGTTACCTGACGTCAAAAATGAAAAGACGATGACGACGACAATTA